AACTAACACAAGACTGTTATTTAGGTGGGTAGATTGTTGGAGATTGTGAATAGTAAGTAAACATAATGTGGTTTATTTTTTACTGACTGAAACACTTGTGAATGTGGTGTATCCCTCTGTTACACCCCTTGCTGCTTATAATGTGCCATCGCCTTGGTAGTGTGTTACTCATTGTTTTTCTTTCAGGTGTAGACAAAGTGGTTTGATTGAAAATGGGGGGTGAAACTGGTTCACTCTCTCACCCACTGACCTCAGGAGCGACAGCCTGAGTGTGCCCAGTCTGAATTGTTTTCATTGGTTTATTTTCTTGCGGTGTGCTGGGTCTGCTAGTCCTGTTTTCATGGCTTTGTTTCAGTTACTGTGGCTGACCTGGGTGGCTTCCCTGGTTTTGTTCATTTTGGCCAGCTTATTTCTTTTTTGGTCTATGCTTGTTGTTAAATCTGGTTTTGTGTTCACAATTTTATCTCCAGATGAAGGAAGCAAACAAATTGTTTATCTGCTACTCCTCATTTCCGTAAATGATGCTGACTTCTCCATACTAGAGCCTTTCCAGGGGGTGTAACTACTAATGAGTCCAATCCCTGAGCACCGAACCAGCAGTGTGGTGTTATGAAGTCTACATATCAAAAATGAAGTGAGCTGCACTGTGTTTTTCAATGACATTTTACTTTATCTAGGTGAAGCAGGCACTCAGGCTCCCATACATTTCCTTTCATTCCACACTCATGCCTAGTTTCACAGCTGATTTGCATCAACAACATATTCCTCACTGCTCTGTATTCATTTTTACTTTGCACTTGGAGTAACGGGACTTTTTGCCCCCTGGCTGTGTGTCAGCCCTCAAAATGTGTCTGTGCGATGCCGTCTTAATTACATTGCATTAGCTGCCATACCAAGCAGAAAGGCGTCTGCATAAAAGGAGTCACTAAACACATTTGGCCTGTAGCTTTGGTCCTGTGGGTGTTCAGAGACTGGCTTCTATGCAGGAGTGTGTCAGTGAGTCAGAGTTGCATGTGAGAGTGTGGGTGTATGTGAATATCCTTATGTATAGATTTGTGTGGAAGTGTAAGCCTTCGTTTTTATTTTCCGGCATTTGAAGTGGATTTCCAAGTGTATGCAGTCATACATAGGCATATTACTGTACTTGGCTGGAGGGTTTCTTTGTGTGTGTTTGTGCTGTGGCCAATAATTTTATACAGATGTAAACTGCCTAGAGGTTTCTCTCTGTCTCCCAGTCTTTTGCTACTGTGCAGCTCTGCATTCACATGTACACCAAACAGATCATCTGAAATCAATTTTTCCCTCTGTCCTTTGAGATTTAGCCAACATTTGATGATGCTAACCGATAAGAGTTTGGTTCAAACATTTAATCCCTCTCCTGTTAAAACTATCTTTGAAACCGCTGTTTAATCTTCCAAGAGGATTATTCCTCTGAAAACAGCATGGCTGTCCTGCTGCCTGCTATAATATGTAGTTTTGGGCTAATAAGAAAAAAAATGCACTTGTGACCTACCTATTTTTATTTGGTTTATTTCCCGGTGTGATGATAGAGTATCTGTCAAATGTTCCCTGTGGGATAGCATCCAATGTCAAAAGAACAAGGCAATGTGTTTTGCTCCAGCACCGTCAGTGCTGCCATTCCATTTAGTGTGCTGATGGCAACAAGAGTTTGCTCTGCACTGCTTTCTTTACATGCGATCTCTTAAATGTGAAATTCCCTTGTGAATGAGTAAACATACTTTTTTGGATATAAGGCTAACTTAAAATTAATATTTAATTACACATTTCATTTTATATTTAAGGTTATCTTTCGTATGGAGAGCAAAATAATTGTAGTAGCAAATAAAAGAGAGAGAAAAGGAGAAAGAGTTTGTTTCCCTGCTGCTAATATACATTTCAAGAAATAAGGAGATTACACTGCTACATTAATTAATTGTATACAGCCACAAAGTACCATTACCACATGTATACTGTAGTCATTATTCAGTGTGCTTGTAAAACACAAACAATTTAGAAGCAAGTCACTTCAAAACTATACTGGAATAGCATATGCTAAAAAACAGACAGTTTTACATTATCTCTTCCTGAAATGTTTCCAGGAGACTTGAATAGGTTGTGACATAACCAGAACATACAACTGCATGAAGTGGATATTCAGAATGAAACACTGTAATAATCACAGTGATTATAGTGTGTGGGAATGATGTGCTTGCTTGTATAATCAAAAGACAGGGTTACATGAGATGTCTAGATTAACAGTGCGTGCACAGCGCAATCATAATTTGTAAAAATGACTGTGTAATCACTGAACAAGAAGGACTGTGAACCCTAGTTTAGTCTATAAATAATGTTTTAGTGTATAACTAGACAAATGCATTTCCTGAAGAAAATGTGTGTGGATGCTGATTGCTGAAGAATTGCCCTGAAAATGCTTAAATCCATAGCTTGGTGGCTAATGCCACTGACTTTAGTACAACTTCATCATGCCTTTTTCTGTGTTGTGATCTGCCGCTATATAGAAAATGAAATTAACTTCACCTTCAAGGGGGGACAGGACACTAATATTGCCCTAATATTGCTGCAAATAAGATACAAAACACTAACACAGTGACATTCATGTATCTTGTGCTAATAAATGTGTTCGTTTGTAAAATGCCTTGAGGTGGTTTCTATCTCCTAATAAAAGCGTGTCTAGATGAAAGGTGTTTGTAATTGCATGTGATTTTTACTTTCATTCTAAATAAAATAATTGAATGTATTAACCCTTGTGTTGTGCCCAGGTCAACTTGACCCTTTTTTAGATTTTTACTAAAAGAAAACTGACAAAAGAAAAAAAAGCTGTTGACCTGAACCTACGTGGACTATACATTATATTTACATATAAATAGTCTGAACCAAAGCCCCAGAGACTTTATGCTTCGTTATCACCAGGGAGTACTGCGGGAATGGAGCTCCATAGTGGGGTAAAGGAACCGGCTAGCTCCCCTGGTGAACCAGAGCTCCAGGTACCCGGCGCCCCGGTTGAACCTGTGTACCCACACTTAAGCCCCCTCCCTGGGCTAAACAATTTAAAACCCCTGGTACTCCAAATGGAGTTTCATGCCTCTGGTATTACACTGTGTGGGAACAGAAATTTTTCTAAGTCCCAATATTGAGTACCAAGACCACAGGTCATTCATTTTTCTAAGTCCCAAACAGGCCATGCTGCACTCTGCTTCACCCATGGAGAACCAGGCACACTTTGCTTTATTCTGTCCCCATAAATAGTGCTCCAAATAGGCCGTGCTGCACTGTGCTTCACCCATGGAGAACCACACATCTCCGGCCAGGCTCTTATCAAATTTTGCTTGCACTGAAGTCAGCCATCTGGGTCCGTTCTCATATTTTTTGCTCGCTCACCCTCCCTAACACGGTCCTAACACTGCCATCAGACTCCTAAACAGCTGACTCAGGATCTACCTCATATAATTCCATCTGTACCGTTTACATGCTCATTTTGCACATGTATAATTGCATTATATTGTGTTCCTGTTGTATTTTTATTGCTTCCTTCACCTGCTTCGCTGTTGGAACTAATAATAATTTCTAAGTGTGGACAGGTGTACGCTATCCATCCATCCATTTTCCTCCGCTTATCCGGAACCGGGTCGCGGGGGCAGCAGTCTGAGCAAAGATGCCCAGACTTCCCTCTCTCCAGACACTTCCTCCACCTCCTCCGGGGGGATACCGAGGCATTCCCAGGCCAGACGAGAGACATAGTCCCTCTAGCATTTCCTGGGTCTTCCCCAGGGCTTCCTCCTGGTGGGACATGCCCGGAACACCTCCCTAAGAAGGTGCCCAGGAGGCATCCCAAACAGATGCCCGAGCCACCTCAGCTGGCTCCTCTCGATGTGGAGGAGCAGTGGTTCTACTGCTGTGTTCTACAGTGACTGAGCTCCTCACCCTATCTCTAAGGGTGTGCCCAGCCACCCTGCGGAGGAAGCTCATTTCGGCCGCCTGTATCCGAGATCTTGTCCTTTCGGTCATGACCCACAGCTCATGACCATAGGTGAGAGTCGCTGTCTGAACTGATAAATATCTATAAGTGCTAAAATTTCTGTTCCCACACAGTGTAGTACCACTCCATTTGGAGTACCAGGGGCGCGGAGATGTGGCTGGGTGGTTTTGAATTGTGTAGCCCAGGGGGGAGTGCTTGAGCATGGGTATACAGGTTCAACCAGTGCGCAGGGATCCATGGAGGTCTGTGGTTCACCAGGGAAGCTATGTAGCTTGTTTATATTTCCTTTACGCCTTATCAAAATGGAAGATTACATTTCCAAGATGAGAAAATTCGCAAATCTGGACTTCCAATCAAAACATTTTTGACAGTCTGGACATTTTTGTCCAGAAGGATCTTCTTTATTGAAAACATTTGTTTTAATATTGGATTTGAACGGTAAAAGGGTTTGTAATACATACCAGCTGACAAATGGATTTCGTGTACAAGTAAAGGTAAGACCATAAACTTTTATTATTTCTAGTTAGAAATAAGCTCAATTGGAATAAATTTTAACCTCAAATTAAATATGGGTCACGTTTATGTGAAGAATGCTGATATGAGATATAAAACATAACGCATTGTCTGTTAACAGACAATTTGTATTTGTAAATCTGACTGTAAAAGAGTTGGTACTTTGATCCCAAACCATAAATGTGAAATATAAAATGTGCCATCAAAATCATTTTCCACATTGTCTGTTCGTTAGCTAATCTCTGATTTACAAACACTTTTCCATCTCACATACAGGCTGCACTCTGGATCACCTACAATAAATTCACAAGTATTTTGATAATCATATAGAAATAACATGAAAAGATGAGAAAAAGGAATAAAGAAACAGGTAGAGAGGAGGAGAGGCAATGAGTTGGGTGCATAATGGCATCTTAACATCTCGAACGGGTAAGTATAATTTTATTTGCTTTAATTACATTTTATATAGTAGTCATGAACCAATCATCTGTGCCTTAGTTTTTTTTTAAACTGAGCTACAGCTCCTCTGGTCTTCTATTTATCTTTCAGAGTGAGGAGAGAGGAAGTGATGGAGGGCAGGATGAAGTGTAAGACCTTTCATGTGTGGTAAATATCAATTTATCTAATGATGTTAATGATTTTATGTACCGTATTTTCTGCACCATAAGGCGCACCGGATTATAAGGCGCATGCTAAAACGTAACGGAAGCAAAACAGTGAGTTTAGTTGAACTTTATTCTACTATTTAAGAATACAATCACATTATTTTTTAATCAATGTTCTCCCACAAATCCACTTCCGAACCATACATTCATTGATTTTGAATTCTTTCGCAGCTGCTCTATTCCCATTTACAACCGCGTAACTGTAGTTTGAATTGTGCCTCGTAAGCATGTCTCTTCACTGCTGCCATTTTCGGGGGTCCTTAGACCGGTTTAGACTGGTTTATCGCTGCCAGCGTACGTAGTGTACGGATTTCGTCCC